AGATTGAATTGCCCCAATTTAATAATAATAATAATAATAAACAAACTTTATTGCCATAAAAGAACAAAGGAAAATTGTACATTATTATAATTATCCTATATTAGCGGCGGTAGTGTAACAAAAAAAAAAGCAAAGATGATTATAACAATGACAGTGGAAAACAAATCATAAATTCAATTCTGACAAACGGAACGATTTATCGCCAAAGACGATATCTTCCAATCGACCCAGTCTAAACTATATTACAATGATACCACCAGATATACAGAATAGTAAGTAATTAAGGCACGCATAATTAACCAAAAGCGAAAAAGAAAAAAAAACAAACAACAAAAAGGAGGGAAGAAAAGTGTAAGAATCTGTGCATTTCTTACACTTTTCTTCCGTAACAAAGCAGAAAAGAAAGAAGGTGAATAAGGAACATAGGCAAGAAAGGAAGTAAAATATTACAAGATCGCAATATGGTTGATATTATTATGGTCAGTGAAACATGGCTTAAACCCTCTCTCCCCTCAGCGATTCACTTCCTAATTATAGTCTTTTGCGAAACGATCGTCTGTTTTTGCGGGGTGGGGGAGTGGCTTTATTTATCAGGGATAGCCTGAGTGCTACGATTGTCGAATCCTCCGATGGGTCAGTTCAGGGGGCTGAATTTATGCTTGTGGAACTGAAAAGTTCCTACAACAAGTTATTACTTGGCGTTTTTTACTGTCCTCCTCTTGTTAACTACTTTGATCAATTGGAGGAAACCCTTGAGAGGCACTCTTTTAATTATAACACTATTCTTCTGATGGGAGATTTCAATACTTGTTTGCTAAAAAATGACTTACGGAGTGACAAACTTCGCTTCATTGCTTCCTCATTAAATTTGACCATCCTGCCCTCACAACCAACTCATCATCTTCCAACTTCGCATTCGCTTCTGGATCTTACTATTACGACTCGTCCGAGCAGCATACTTATGCATGGTCAGCTCCCTGCTCCTCAATTTTCCAATCACGATCTAATTTACTGTGCAGTGCAGATACGACAACATATTTTCTCGCAACGCATTATTTCCGTTCGTGATCTGGGTCGTATTGATAACGATTTGCTGTTGTCTGATGCGCAGAGGATCGATTGGCTCCCGCTTTATCGAATGGCCGATATTGATGGCAAGGTTGACTACTTCAATTCTAAACTTATCAATCTCTATGACAAGCATGCCCCACTCAGACGACGCAGGGTGAGACATCCGCCCGCACCCTGGTTAAGTGATGAGATAAGATCACTGATGAGGGAGCGTAATCGTGCAAAGCTATTACTTAAACGTATTCCAAATACTATTAATCGTGAAAACTATAGGATCTTGCGTAACCGTTGCAATCACCAATGTAGAAATGCCAAAAAAATGTATTTCTACCGGAGACTATCCAATGCTAATCCGAGGACGTTTTGGAAGTTGATGCGTTCCTTAGGGGCGGTTGAGTCTCCCTCTGTTCGGGCTGCTTGTGATGTGGATTCATTGGCGAGGTTTTTTGCTGACCCACCTCTGCTCATTAGTGGTGGGACTAGGATGACAACTATTTCTGAAATTCTTGCCTCATCTAAATCCTCCTCTTTCTCCTTTGTCCTGGTCACAGCGTCAGAAGTCCGCGATGCCTTGAATCACTCGAGGTCTACGAGTGTGGGAGCTGATGGAGTTGGTCTCAAACTTCTTCTTCCTATATTGGATATTGTTCTTACTCCTATTACCCACATTTTTAACTTCTCCATTGAACGATCCTCATTCCCTTCAATCTGGAAGGTTGCTCATGTTGTCCCTATACCTAAATCCAAGAGTCCCTCAAGTTTAAATGATTTTCGCCCTATCTCCATTTTATCTGTTCTATCTAAAGCTCTCGAGTGCCTTGTTTATCTACAAGTTCAAGAGTACAAGAATTTAACTTGCACAACGACTTTCAATCGGGTTTTCGTAAGGGTCATAGCACGACAACAGCGCTTATTAAGATTACGGATGATATTAGGTATGCTTGCGACAAACGTTGTGTTACCATCCTTGTATTACTTGATTTCAGCAAGGCGTTCGATTCGGTTGATCACGATCTTTTGTTGGCGTCACTAGCTGCCCTTGGATTTACCTCTTCATGTTTATCTTGGTTTCAATCTTACTTTTCCTGTCGTTCCTTGTGTGTGCGTGCTGATTCTGCGCTCTCGTCTGCTTGTGATATTAAATGTGGTGTACCCCAGGGTAGTGTGTTGGGTCCGTTGCTCTTTTCGATTTTTATTAATGCCGTCACCCACTGTATTTCTTGTAATTATCATGTGTATGCTGATGACCTCCAAATTTACACTACGACAACTATTGATGATTTTCCGGAAGCAATTGCACGTCTTAATCATGACCTTTCCAATATTTTGGATTGGTCCAAACGTTATGGCCTTAAATTAAATACTGCTAAAACTCAAGCAATTGCGTTTGGCAGTCGACCTTTACTGGCAAAGCTGAATGATTTTTCATCCATTCACTTAATGCTTGACGGAGACATTATTCAGCTGTCAGACACGGTTAGAAACCTTGGGGTGGTTATGGATTCTACAATGTCCTGGAAACCTCAAATTCAATCCGTCTGCAGAAAGGTCTATCATTGTTTCCACTCACTGAAAAGTCTCCGTTGCTTCCTTCCTCCCATGATCCGTCGTAATCTTTGTTTTTCCCTGATTTTCCCCCATATTGATTATGCTGACACGGCATATCCTGATCTTTCGGTAACACTACGAAACAAACTGCAAAGACTTCAAAACAACTGCATACGGTATATCTTTGATCTCGAGAGATCTAAACACATAACCCCATACCGTAATTATTTGCAGATATTAAGCTGTCAGAACCGTAGATCGTTTCGTATATTAACTATGTTATATACTGTTCTTCACAATCAAACCCCAAGGTATTTGTATTGTATATTTCAACGCTTGTCGTCGCATGGTTTACCTACTAGATCTCAGTTAGATTCTGTGCTTATGTTCCCGACCCATAGTACCGAGATTTACCATAAATCGTTTGCTGTGCAGGCTGTAACCCTTTGGAATAGTCTGCCTACTGAAATCCGTAATATTCCTCACCTTGTAACATTTAAAAACCACCTAAAACCTGAAACTCCTAAAAACTCTTCAAGTATCTTCCTGAAAACTTTTTCTTCTCCCTTTTCTTCTCTTCTTCTACTTTTCTTCTCTTCTCTTCTTCTTTTATTCCAGCAGCTATCATTATGCACCGTTTTTGGTGACCATAAGTTTAGCATAGCAGCTTGCCGTTCATTTATTGTTTTTCAATATAACTTAGTATACTGCTGATTGATTGGGTTGTTTGGAAGATATCGCTTACGCGATAAATCGACCCTTCTGCCCGTATTTATGTATTAAGTTAAATGTATACATTTTCTTTAATTTGTATTTTTTGTTTCTTATTATGGCAATAAATTTATTTATTATTATATTATTATTAAAACAATAGTATGAAAAAGTGCCACATGTGCACGATACAGTCGCTCCAATCGCACCGATAGAAGCGTTCGCTCCGCGCGTCTGCGTCTGAAACAAATTATATTGTTTTTGCGTACCTTGTGTAAATTGGAGTTTGATACGGGCAGTTTGGTATAGGCGTTTGGTTGTCATTTACTATTTATCTTTTTTATTTATATTCATATTTATATAGCTACTTATTATTCGTTATTAAAATATGATTAATTAGGTATTTATTAAATGGCTATTTATCCGGATATTTACCCCGGTCCAGGGTAAATACCCAAACAGTACGTATAAAAGTGATACAAGTAAAATATAACAGATTCGGAAAAAATTGAAGAAGATGATGAAATGGACGTTGAAGAAGAGAAATTGTCAACGATCGATGACGTACTATCAGACGAATCTGTCGTAATTTAGATTAGATCAAGTTTATGATTAAAACTTAATAATTATATTAACCGTTAATAAACGGAAAATATTAATTTTCCGTTTATTGTTTTATTTGTATGAGTTTTTGTATAAATAACCATTCTTATTACTTTTTATTAATGAACAACTTTTATTTTTGAATTAAACTTATTTATTTTTTAGTAGTCTTTGTACTGTTTTTAAATTTTATAAATACCTCTAAATACCCATCTTGGGTAAATACCCCTCGGTACATATCCAGGGAATTTTCCCTCGACAATAAATACCCGGGTATTTAACAACACTGGTCGTGGCTCGGTTCAAATATTTTTTTGTTTCTTTGTTATCGTGTATTCAGCGTTATGGATGAGTTCCCATCCGCAACATAAGTTTCGAAATGTTGTAAAAAAATTCTTTTTCCAGACTGTCCAGGTAAGATTTATTTATTATTTTTATTTATTTTGATAAATGTGTTCCAAAGTTCCAAGTACAGTTGATAAATAGCGTTTTTCTTAAATTATCTAATTTAGGTTGAAGGATGTGAAGTTATGTAGTGTACAAACTATTTTCTTCTTTGGAATACATTTTACTTAATCATTTGTTGTGACTAAGTTAAAACTGATTAAAGTACATTTTAAATTTATCCCGTATTTGAACTGCTTGTGTACTAGCTCGATTATTGCGTCGAGATCGTTGAAGCGCATTGAAATTTGTAGTTAAATTCACATTATAATGTTATGGAGCAAACATGCCGTTTTTATAAGCAGTTTAGCATGTGTCACGTTTGTTTCAATTGGTTTAAGGAAAAGTCTCCATTTGTTAGTTAATATTCCATAGGCATTTTCTATAGTGACTCTTGCCCTGGATAATCTTTTATTAAAATCTCTCTTTTCGTCATCTAAACCATTTGACGGATAAGGTCGCATTAAGAAATTTTTTAATGGATAGGCTTCATCCCCAACTAATACACAAGGTAATGTTATANTTTTAAGGTTGGTTGAGATTAGGTGAAAATACTATTGTTGCACAATAATGTGCTCGAATACCGAAAAAAACGTTGAAGTTGAAAACGATCAAGAGGATCCTTTTGATGTCGGTTCCGATATAGATCCAGATTATATGTATACCGCCACAAGACGAAAACATAAATGAAACGTCTGCCGAAGAAACTGAGAATGCAGAACAACCAGCCATTAAAAAGAATAAAAGAAAAAAAACCAACATACAAAAAGTAGGTACAAAGCGAGCCAGAAACGTTAATGAGTGGATAGATAATAAATCAAAAACCCTTCTCAATGTCGGACTTGAACACGAAAACCGAAAAGGGGTGAAAGTAAAAGCAAGACAGCTAGGTGAACCTTGTAAAGACACCTGCAGGTTAAAATGCACTACTAAAATCAACGAGGATGACAGAAAGCTCATTTTCAATGAATTTTGGAAATTACAAAATCATACAAGAAAATGGGATTTTGTAGCTCGTCATGTAAGACAGGTAGCCAAAAAACAAGTTACTCTTACTGTCAATTCGCAGTCTCGGAGAAGTGTCTCTCGGGAATATTATTTCAACATTCGCAGTAAAGAACAACGTATTTGCAAGATTTTTTTTTTGCGAACTCTAAATATTTCAGAATCTTAGGTAACTACAGCATTAAGCAAATTAAAAGAAGGTGGAACCTTAGAAGAGGACAAGCGTGGGAAACATAGTACACGACCTCATAGACTAAAACCAG